GGCCCGGGAATCCGCAAGGACGCCTTCGCAGACGCAGTGCAGCGGGCCCGCCAGGTGAGGAGGCCGCGGGCCTGAGGGGCGCGCGCGCGGGCGGGGGAGGGGGCGGGGTCACGTGCGCGCGCGGGGTCGCGGGGGGGGCGGGGCCGCCGCGGGGTCACGTGGGGCGGTGGGCGGGGGCCTGGGCCTCCCCAGACACCTGGAGTGGGGCCTCCTCCGGGGGTGACCCCCTGCAGGGGGAAGGGTCGTCCGGGGTTCACCCGAGAGCGGCCCCTGGGTGTGCAGGGTACCTGGAGCGCGGGGACTCACTTTGGGGACTTCCCTCCCCCGTTAGGACATCCTCCACTCCTGGAAGCAGGGGACTCGCTTTCCCAGGGAGGTCTTGTGTGCCCCCACTTCCCCATCAGAGCAAAAAGCACTGTTTGCCCCCAACCCGGTCCCATTTCTGCCTACTCCCCAGGAAGGAGGGACTTCGGAGGGGGGGGAGAAAAGTCCTCTTGAGCCTGGAAAGTGGAAAGGGGACCCTTTGGCTGCCAGGCAGTGGCCAAGCACTTAGTTGAAATGGGGAGGGTGGGCCTAGGGACTGGCACTTTTTGATGCTTCTGGTGACTTGAAAGCGTGGTCGGTCTCTTTTGGGGAGAGAAGGGAAGGGTCCCACCACTGTGTTTTGGGGCATGATGACTACATGGAGGTGTCACATGCTGGTGTGTGACCTCCCCATGGCCTGAGGGGAGGAGGCCCATAGAAAGTGAGGACTTTGTTGCCCTCTCAAAAGGAAGCTGACCAGGCTCAGGCCATTGAGTGCTTCCTCACTCAGGATTGTCCCGAAACCTCCAGGACACAGTGGGAGGTCCCGTTAGGGGAATGCCCTCTTCTCCCAGCGTTGTCTGTGGCTTTCACCCCTGGGGTGGGATAGGGTTCTGAGCTGCATTTGATTTGGTTGTCCCCAAACTGTCTTGATTGAGAAGCAACTATAACAAGGGGGGTTGGTGCTGTCATTTGGGTTGGGATAAGGCCCCATCTAGGCATCCCAAGAGCTTTGGCTCAAAGTGTTTTTTTGTTTTTTGTTTTTTTTTTTAAGAAAAAAAAGGATGAGAGGTGAAAAGATAGATCCTCAGCTCATGGCTGTGTTTCTTTGGAAAACCTGTAATAATTCTACCAGCCGACTCTGGTCTTAAATTTGTTGGGTTGGAGTTTACTTGATGTTGCTGTTCGTGTGTCTAAAATGTAACGTGTGTTCCAAGAAAGGTCTTCTGTTTTGGTCAAAATGAGGGTTTCAGATGTCTTGAAGCAAAAGTTTTCCTAAGATTTGTTGAACAAATGCAAAGATTATGAGGGTGAGGGAGATGAAGGAAAATTGTGCTCTTCAGCATCCCAGAGGACCAGGAGCTTGGGCAAGTGAATGTCTGAAAGTTCCCCCTGGAGGAGGGGCCCTGAGGACCTTCCCTGGCACCTGAACTTCTGTTCCTTTCACCCCTAGAACAAGTCAGTGTGGGTTACACTCTGGCCACGAACAGTTCAGGCAGAAATCTCATAGAGAAAAAGGAGTTTTGAAATTTCTGAATAACTCTTGAACTCTGAGGCCTTGGGTAAAAAGTTTTTCTAGAAGGTCTTAACCCACAGGCTCTTACCAAAATCTGGGAGAAGCCACTCCCAGGCCAGACAGCAAGACCTGTTGGGTTTAATGAACCAGAGAAGTCGATCTAAGCACCATGGGGGGAGTTTTTGGGTGGTAAGTTTTCTCTGCTTACAACTTTATTTCTAGATCGCAGCCAAAATTGGAGGTGATGCCGCTACAACAGTGAATAACAGCACTCCTGATTTTGGTTTTGGAGGCCAAAAGAGACAGTTAGAAGATGGAGGTAACTACCTGCTGGAGGGGCAGCGGGGAGAGAGTGAGGTGCCTTTGTTTGAATGTGGTTCAAAGTGGGGGGAGCCCACTGCCATTTTGGTCTTTTAAAACCTCAGCGATCCCAGCTTTGTTGTCTCTTTTTGTTCTCGCTGCTATCCTGAGGTATCAGGTGGCTGAGTGGAGGGCAGATTGATTGTGACCAGGTCCAAGTTGTGAGTTCTCAAGACTGTTCCTCCCCTCCTGCCAAGCTAGGGAAGTGTTGGCAGTTCTCTCGAGGCCCCACATCAGTGCAATGTGGCTGGCCCCGGGGCATGCAGTGTGATCCAGAGCAGCCCAGAGTATCAACTCAGTGATCAGCCTGACTTTCCCAAGGCGGGTTTGGTCTTAAGCCGGAAGGACTCAGGTGCCACCGTAATTTTCCCCCTGTTACAAAGGGCTTCTTATCCCTGAGTGCCAGTGTGGGGGATTGATGAAGTCTGGCCCCCTCAGGGGTTCATCTCTGCTACTCCCCTGTCCTGGCTCTGCCGTGGGGGCTGGGGGACAGGACGGTGTCTGCCAGGACATGCGGCACCAGCATCAGATTTGAGGCAGCTGTGGGTGGGTGGGTGGGTGCTGCATCTGACATCCTCTTCTTTTCACAGACCAACCGGAGAGCAAGAAACTGGCTTCCCAGGGAGACTGTAAGTCCACTGGGTGACACAGGCAGAGGGCAGCTTCAGGATTTTAGGTTTCTAGCAGTGGGGGGCTGGAAGTACTGAGCAGACAACATCTCTCCTTCATGGAGGCTCTTGGTGTTCCTCTGGGGTCCATGAGCTTTAGAGAACCCAGAGTCTGGGAATTGAGGCAGAAACCTCAGAGTGTGTGTGGTTGTGAGGCGGGCTCCATTGCTTTCAGTCGGGAAGGCTCGGAAGCACTGATAAGGCTAGTTGCCATTGATGAAGTCTGGCCCCCTCAGGGGTTCATCTCTGCTACTCCCCTGTCCTGGCTCTGCCGTGGGGGCTGGGGGACAGGACGGTGTCTGCCAGGACATGCGGCACCAGCATCAGATTTGAGGCAGCTGTGGGTGGGTGGGTGGGTGCTGCATCTGACATCCTCTTCTTTTCACAGACCAACCGGAGAGCAAGAAACTGGCTTCCCAGGGAGACTGTAAGTCCACTGGGTGACACAGGCAGAGGGCAGCTTCAGGATTTTAGGTTTCTAGCAGTGGGGGGCTGGAAGTACTGAGCAGACAACATCTCTCCTTCATGGAGGCTCTTGGTGTTCCTCTGGGGTCCATGAGCTTTAGAGAACCCAGAGTCTGGGAATTGAGGCAGAAACCTCAGAGTGTGTGTGGTTGTGAGGCGGGCTCCATTGCTTTCAGTCGGGAAGGCTCGGAAGCACTGATAAGTGCTAGTTGCCCCTCGTGCAGGCAGGAATGCCTGGGGCCGGCAGTGTTTGGGGTCCCAAAGAGGAGCCAGGCCAATCTTTCCTTTGAATTTTCTCTCTGCAGCCATCAGTTCTCAGCTCGGACCCATCCATCCTCCCCCCAGGTAAGTTGTGATTTGGAGAACATGTCATTTCTTTCCTCACTATCTCTGGCCTTTTGTACTGACTTGAGGGAGGGCTCTGTCTGAGGCCACATCATTTAGGACTTTGTCTCCCTTGCTGGTCGACCAGGGAAAGGAATGAAAAGCAGAAGGAGCTTCATTTGTTCCTTGTATTTACTGTCTGTGGGGCTGTAGAGAGCACAGGGCTGTGGCTGTTAGCTGTAATGAGGAAGGGGGATCTCTGCATCCTCTTGCTTCCTTTGTTTGGAGTGGGGACAGTCAGAAACACAGCTATCCCTCCTCCTAGAAAAGGCTGGGGACTGACCTTGGCCTTCTCATCTGTCTTCCGTAGATTCTTGTTCCCTGAGAGCTGGAGGAGCGGGGGGTTGGGATGGGAGGAGGGTCTTTCTTACCTTTTTGCCGCAGAATGACCTCAGTGAATCTGACGTAGAATCCTTTGTGAAGGACCCTGCTGTTCTTTCGGTTTTTTCACTTGGCTAAAGTTTTGTGAAATGCAGTAAAAACAATAGGAGAATAAAATGAAAAAGATACAAAGCCAGTTTTTTTTTTAATTAAAATCTGTAGACAGCAGATGACACCATCAGATCTCTGTGAAAGTGCCCCAAGTTCTCCTCCTTGCCCTGAGTCGGTGGAACTGCACTGGCCCAGGGGTTCACGCCACCCCAGACCAAGCCTCTTGTGGCCCAGAAGGGGAACTGAGGCCCCGAGAGGTTGGGTGATCTTCTGCGGGCCGAGGGAGCCCCCGAGCCATTGTCAGACTCTGCTTGGGCCTGTGGGGGCTTGGTCCCCATGTCATAGAAGGCAGGGCCTGTGGCTTTGAGGGTCTTTCTCCAGGAGGCACTCTGGCTCTTCCATCCCGCCGACTTCGCTCCTACTCGAGGCTGACTCTCGTCATCTCTCTTTGCAGGACTTCAATGACAGAAGAGTACAGAGTCCCAGATGGCATGGTGGGACTAAGTGAGTGTGGGTCAGCCGTGATCAGGGATGCCCGTTATCCCCCCGTCTCTGGGAGTCTCCCAGGAGCCCCCGGCAGCCTGGGAACCTCTGGTCTGAAAGAGCCCATTTCATGCTTTCTCTGTCCCCATCCTCTCTGGCCGGGGGGACGGCGGAGCTCTCAACTTGGCTGCTCCACCCCCCCCAGCCTCACCCCCTGAACATCAGCGGGGCCGGGACCCCCTCCACACGGTCTTCTCAGCGCCAGGCTCCCCGCCTCAATCTCTGCTTTTGTTCTTTTTCTCCACCTAGTCATTGGCAGAGGAGGCGAACAGATTAACAAAATCCAGCAGGATTCGGGCTGCAAAGTGCAGATCTCTCCAGGTATGGGAAGCCAGATCTGGGCCAGGACAGGCGCTGGGCTGGGCTGAGCTGAGCTGAGTGGGGCTGGGGTGTGGGCGGTGGGGGGTGGGGGGTGCTCTCGGGCTTTCTGTCATAATCCTCTGACTGCCGTGATTGGATAGAGGTGAAACAGACTGGTGTTCATTGAGCGCGTTTTATGTGCTAGGCTCTGGCGCCTTGAGGTGTAGCTGCAACTCTTATTTTCTTCAGTTTTCTGGTGAGCGGGGAAGGCTGCAATGTAGTGCAGGGAGCTGCACCCCAGACCCTGCTCTGACTGTGTTGCCACCTGAGCTAAACACCTGGTGGAAAACAGGCGGGAATGTGTGAGGCAGGGGAGCTCGTTAGGAAGAAGAGCTGAGGTCAGGCCTGGGTTCAAGTCCAGTTCTGCCTGCTGCTTGGCAAGTGCCTGCTTTGCAGGGCTTTCTGAGGGCTCGGCCTGCCTAACCCGTGCCCTTCATTGACTGGAAGCTGCTCGTCATCAGTGGTGATGGACAGAGCCCAGGTTTGGGACTTTCTGGAATCTGCCTTGCTTTCCATCTCATCCTTTTTCTAAAAGTTTTGCCTCCCTTACTGGATTGTAAGCTTCCTGACCTGGGCCTTGTGTAGAGCGGCCTCCCAGGTGTTGGGGGAGGTAAATTGATCTGTCAGGCCCCCGCACGGTGGTAGAAGAAGCCACTGGTTGTTCTGGAGGCCTCCTCATCTCCACGGGAAGTCCTCCTGGTGTCTGCAGACCCAAGAAGCCATTGACCCTGTCTTCTCTTCTCTCCAGACAGCGGTGGCCTACCCGAGCGCAGCGTGTCCTTGACAGGAGCCCCGGAGTCTGTGCAGTAAGTCCCTGGCTGGGCCTGTCACTGACGAGGAGAGTGGCAGAAGCCCTCTGGATGGATCCCTTTGAAGTTGAGGGTGACTCCCACACCATGTCTCTCAAGCCTTGCCCTCTCCAGGGGGCTGTCCTGACACTATGATTCCCATGAATCCTGAGATCTGGGGAACCTGGGCCTGAATAGCCCCACCCCCGAGGACAGGACCATTTGTCATCTGTCAGACCATGTGGTTTGGAATCGCCTTCCCTGGGACCTGGGTGGAGCTGCCAGGCCAGTCCTCTCTCAGGTGATGACACCCATTCTTCCCCTTCCCAGGAAAGCAAAGATGATGCTGGATGACATCGTCTCTCGGGGTCGTGGGGGCCCCCCAGGACAGTTCCATGACAACGCCAACGGGGGCCAGAACGGCACAGTGCAGGAGATCATGATCCCCGCAGGGAAGGCCGGCCTGGTTATCGGCAAAGGTGGAGAGACGATTAAGCAGCTGCAGGTAAGGGAGTGGGCCCCTCCCCTCCCAAGAAAGTTTCCTCCCTGGGGCTGTGCGTCTGCACACCGCTGCCCCCAGCCGCTTTGCCAGGGTCCTTCATCCTTTTTGATCACACCCGGCCCCCCACATGCCCCAGAAAGTCCTTTGAGAGCTCAGCACTGACTCTCAACCTTGGCTGTATAGGAACGGGCTGGAGTGAAGATGATTTTAATCCAAGATGGATCCCAGAACACAAATGTGGACAAACCGCTCCGGATCATCGGAGACCCTTACAAAGTACAGGTGAGCGCACCCCGGGGGCTGGCGAGGGGTTCTGGGGCAGAGAGAGGGCAGGCAGGTGAGCTGGAGATTCATATGCAAGTGGAGAGGTTTTCAAGAGCGCTGGCTTTGAAGTCAGCCCAGGACTTGTTCTCTGCTGAACTCTGTCTCCTGGCCGTTTGTACGTGAGCAGGTGGCCTAAACTCCAGAGAATGGGGGTGCTCACCACGTGTGCCTCTTAGGGCGGCAGATAAAGAGCTCGGCACATGTGCGTTAGTCCTTAGCTTAGGCCTGTGACCCCTGGGCACGTGGTGGGGCGGCATTGCTTACGTGAGCGCTGTGCTTCGTGTGTTTGTAGCAAGCCTGCGAGATGGTGATGGACATCCTTCGGGAGCGTGACCAGGGTGGCTTCGGGGACCGGAATGAGTATGGATCCCGGATCGGCGGGGGCATCGATGTGAGTGCAGGCTTCCCCAGGTGGATGGAGTGCCAGGGTGGGCAGGGGGTGGGGGGTGTTGGGCAGCAGAGGGCCACAGGCTGGGGGCAGAGCCCAGCTGACTCTCCTGCGTCCCGCCCACCCTCAGGTGCCAGTGCCCAGGCATTCTGTGGGGGTGGTCATCGGCCGGAGCGGAGAGATGATCAAGAAGATCCAGAATGACGCGGGTGTTCGGATACAGTTTAAACAAGGTCAGGGGCCAGCCGGGCGTCCGCTGGGCACGTGGACATGTTGACCAGTTCTCTCCGTTGAGGAGCACTCTTGGGGTCCACTGCGGGCAGCTTGGCACCAGGGTTAGCCTGTTGAGCCTCTGTGGTGCCTCATTACTCCTAGACCAGCAGGACATGCCTCATCACCTCCCCGCCGGTGGGACAGCCACGTGAGAAAGTGGGTGACAGGCAGGCTTTCCAAGTCGAAGGGGGGAGTGTGTTTTTCTCTCCTGTCAAATTCTCTTTTTCCTCTCCCCCGCCCAAGGGCTCTCCTAACCAAGCCACGGGGGCCCCTGGGCTGGATTAGCTTGCACGGCCCCAGCTCTGGGTTCCTGCCAACCGCAGTGAGAGTGTCTGAGTGGCCGGTCTGTGGGGAGGAGGGACTCCTTTGTGCTTTTGAGAGATATGTTGTCAGTTCTTAGTTCTGTCAACTGCATCCGTTAGTTTGGGGGATACCCGATGCAGAAAGAAGCCTCATCTGCCATCCTGCCTTAGCCGGTTGGTTTCCTTCTCTGGCAACGTGGGCCCGCCGGCCTTTCTCGGCCCCTGAATACATGGAGGGCGGCGAGCAGCACTTTGAGGCTGAGATATTTCAGACGCCCAGCCTGGCCCAGCTTCTGCCCTGAAGAGGCGGTGTTACGGGGGTTTGGAGTTGTGCTTCTCTTATGATTGCGTTTCTCTTCTCTGGGTGCTGCCTCAGATGACGGGACGGGTCCCGAGAAGATAGCACACATAATGGGGCCGCCAGACCGGTGTGAGCACGCCGCGAGGATCATCAGCGACCTCCTCCAGAGCCTCAGGGTGGGTGGCGTCGGCTGTGCTGAGAAGGGCTGGTGGGGACAGAGGGGCCAGGCTGGATTCCTGTGTTAACCCTCCATCTCCTCCCTGCCCTGCAGAGTGGTCCCCCAGGCCCTCCGGGGGGTCCTGGCATGCCCCCAGGGGGCCGAGGTCGAGGACGAGGCCAAGGCAACTGGGGCCCTCCCGGTGGGGAGATGACCTTCTCCATTCCCACTCACAAGTGTGGGCTGGTCATCGGCCGAGGTGAGGAGCCCTCCCACGGGCCCCGCCCTCCCCCGCTCTCCCCCCCCTCCTCACGGCCTGTGGCTTCCGCAGGTGGCGAGAACGTGAAAGCCATAAACCAGCAGACGGGCGCCTTTGTAGAGATCTCCCGGCAGCTGCCACCCAACGGGGACCCCAACTTCAAGCTGTTCATCATCCGGGGCTCGCCCCAGCAGATCGACCACGCCAAGCAGCTCATCGAGGAGAAGATAGAGGTGGGCTGGGGAGGGGCTCTGGGGGCCTGGGCCCGGCTCCTCCTCCCCCTCCACTGACTCGTCCGATTCTCTTTCCTCCAGGGTCCCCTCTGCCCAGTGGGACCAGGCCCCGGGGGCCCAGGCCCTGCCGGCCCCATGGGACCCTTCAACCCCGGGCCCTTCAATCAGGGGCCACCCGGGGCTCCCCCTCAGTGAGTATCCCTGCCGGCTCCCTGGGGTTTGGGGTGGGGTGGGGCTGTGCTGGCAGGGAGACTGGCAGACCCTGTGTCCGTCTCCTCCGCTGAGATGGCCAGCCCTGCCTCGTGGAAGTGCTGAGCGTTTGGCCCCAGACATGATCCCGGCCAGCCCCCTGTTTACAGACACATTCCTAAAAGATGCCACAGGTGTTGCCCCTGGTCTCCACCCACGCGTATATCCGTGCCTGGTGCGCTCGGGGACTTGCGCCTCCTTGAGTCAGCACAGCCTGTGGCGTTTGCATCGGTCATCTTACGCCCTTCCCTGGGCCAGGAACCCGCAGCGCCACTCAAGGGGTGCTCTGGGTCCCCGTCCGAGCTGCGGCCATCCTCTTTGGGGACCCAGGAGCAGCCTGGCTCATGTGTTCCCCGTTCTCATCCTGCAGTGCTGGAGGCCCCCCTCCTCACCAGTACCCACCCCAGGGCTGGGGCAATACCTACCCTCAGTGGCAGCCGCCTGCTCCTCACGACCCGAGTAAGTGGAAGGACCCGACCCGGGCAGGCGGAGAGGGGGCCGGCTTTCTGGGCCGCTGCTCAGCCCACACGTCCTCCTCCCGCAGATAAAGCCGCGGCTGCCGCCGCAGACCCCAACGCCGCCTGGGCCGCCTACTACTCACACTACTACCAGCAGCCCCCAGGCCCCGTGCCAGGCCCAGCACCGGCCCCCGCGGCCCCGCCCACCCAGGGCGAGCCCCCTCAGCCTCCACCTGCCGGCCAGTCGGACTACACTAAGGCCTGGGAGGAGTACTACAAGAAGATCGGTGAGTGCCCGGGCCACGGCGGGGGCTCGGGTCAGCCAGCGAGCGGTGGGCGGGTGGGTGGCCGTGTCCCCAGGCTGGGCTCTGACCTCGAAGCCTGTGTCCACAGGCCAGCAGCCCCAGCAGCCCGGCGCACCCCCGCAGCAGGACTACACGAAAGCCTGGGAGGAGTACTACAAGAAGCAGGGTGAGCCGGCGGGGCCGCGGGGGGCAGGACCGGGCTCGCCCTCGTGCCGGCCACACTCACCCGCCCTCTGCCCCCCCACAGCTCAAGTGGCCACGGGAGGGGGTCCAGGAGCACCCCCAGGCTCCCAGCCGGACTACAGTGCCGCCTGGGCCGAATATTACAGACAGCAAGCCGCTTACTACGGACAGACTCCAGGTCCTGGCGGCCCCCAGCCTCCACCCACACAGCAGGGACAGCAGCAGGCAAGTGGGAATTGCCACCCTCCTCCTCCTCCTTTCTCCTTCCAACCCCCGGCTACCGTCCATCCTGCCTTAGTGGGTAGCGCCGGAAATCCCTTCCCCTGCGGGGTGTGTCCTTGATGCCTGCAGCGGGGGCCGCGTGGCCAGAGGTCTCCGGGAGTCCCCACGCGCCGGGGGAATTGTGTGCTGGGTCCAGAGGTTAAACGAAGAGGCCTCCCTCCGCCGGCCCGCTTGTTCCTGTGTAACGCTGTCATGATGCTGGGGGAGACCGCGCGAAACAAATAAAAGGAGGAACTGTTGAACTGGTGGGTAGTCCTGGGGGTGGGGGGCAGGCCGTCCGCTCAGATGCTGGTCGCCATCCTGGCTGCTAACTCACTCAAAATCTGGCCACTTGGGAAGAAAACGGATATTTTTTCCCCTCTCTGCATTACTTTCACGGTTTTTGTTCTTTTGATTCTTTTATTTTTGAAACCACGATCTCTCCCCGCGTGTCCAAGTGACTGTGTGTGCTGCAAGCGGCCCCATGCGGCTCGGCTGTGGCCTGGCCGTGGCTCCTCCCGTGGCTCCTCCCGTGGGCTGTGGGGGAGGTGCCGAGGGGCCTGGGCCCTCCCGCTCCGCCCAGGCTCGGCCTCTCTGCTCCCGTGCCCGCCTTGTGTCCTGGTCTTGTCTGTGAAGTGGGCATGACGATCGCTGCCACCTTCCAACCTACCTCACAGGGGTGTTGTGGGGACACCGTGATCTCTGACTGTCATGTTGTGAAGCGCCGGGCCGCCAGCCCTCCTTCCTGAAGACAGGGCCCCTCCCCTCCCCCCTCCCCTCCCCCGCTCCCAGCCCTGAGCGCTTCTCTCCCGCCCTCCCTTTCTCTTTCTCTCTTTATTTCTCTCCTCTCCCCCTCTCTCCCCCCCCTCTCTCCCTCCCTCTCTCCCTCTCTCTCCCCCTCCCTCCCTCTCTCCCTGCTTCTTTTCCTTCCTTTGTGTCACTCTCTCCTCCATCAGGGAGCCAGTCTGACTTCAGCCGAGCCCCGGAGCACTGACTAGACAGCTACAGACACATCCTTCGGCCTGCGCTCACCACAGGCTCAGGAGAGGGGCTTCCTGGCCCCCTCCTCGCCCCGTCCCCCAGTCTCCCGCCTCCCCTCCCGTAGTGACCAATTCCTATCTCTCCCTCTCCGCAGGCTCAATGAATCGAATGAATGTGAACTTCTTCATCTGTGAAAATCTATTATTATTTTTTTTCCATTTTGTTCTGTTTGGGGGCTTTTTGTTTGTTTTTCTTCCGTTTGTTTGTCGAGAGAGCGATGGCTGCCAACGGGGTGTGCTTGGGGAGCCCTCGCTGTGAGTGGCTTGGAGGTTGCAGCACAGGCGGTGCCGGGCTCTCGCTCTCTCGCTCATTCTGTGTGTCTCACATGCTTTTTTTCTTTCAAAATTGGGATCTTTCATGTTGAGCCAGCCATAGAAGATAGCGAGAACTAAATCTGCAAAAAAAAAAAATAAATAAATAAATTTATCAAAAAAAAAATTAAAAAGCAAAACAGAACCTATAAAATTATATATATATATATTAAAAAATCTCTATCATCCCCCACCCCCCACCCCACCCCAGCGTTCCTGACACTGCCTCTTTCAGGAGAAAGCAATTCATTCACTCCCTACTACCACCCTTGGCCCTCTTCATGTTTTTAAAATAAACTTTTAAAAAGGAAAAAAAAAGTCACTCTTGCTATTTCTTTTTTTTAGTTAGAGTTGGAACATTCCATGGACCAGGTATTGGTATTGCAGGAACCCCGCCCCGCCCCGTGTCAGGCAGCCCCGCACTCAGCCTCTCTGCTCCTCCTCTCGCTCTTCTTTCCGCCCCAGCCCAGCTCCCCCGCCGCCCACCCCTCCCACCCCCCACCCCCAGGACTGGTCTGTCGTGTTTCATCGGTTCAAGAGGACATTGAAACTGAAAACAGTTGAGAACAAAACAAAACAAAAAATTGTATGGCAGTTTTTACTTTTTATCGCTCGTTTTTAACTTCACAAATAAATGATAACAAAACCTCCCGTGTCTGCCGGGTGCCGTCTCTCTCTCTGTCTCCCCGTAGACTTTTGAAGCAGATGTTTGTTCTTTATAGATGTTGTAAAAGCCTGATGACGGTGATTGGAAATTACAAGCTTTGTGTTGTGTTGGTTTTTTTTTTTTTAAACCGGAATTATAAGAAAAGATAGTTTTCTGCAGGCGCATTGTGCTTTCCTAACTCTGCCCCCCACCCCTTTTTTGGTTAAATAAAGTGCTTTTTGTCTAAAACGGCGTGCTGGCCGCAGTTGTGTTTGCAGAGGAAACAAGCTGAAGAGGAACTTGGCCCATGAGAGTGGGGTGTTGGCCCCCCAAAGACTGGCCGCCTGGTCTTGTAGGAAGGGAGAAGCAGGCAGAGCCCCAGCAGTGCAGTCCTCCCCCAGCGTTCCCGCCTCTGGGAACGTGGGGAGCAAGGCCACCTGTCCCAGGAGGGTCCCCAGGGACAGGTGTTCCCATGGATACAGCCTGCCACCACAGCAAACCCATGGCCGGCCGTGCCTTGCGGGACTCGGCCTGGCCCTGATGGCATGCCTAGCTGTGGCCTGTTTTGCTAGCGAGCCCTGAGGTGGAAACCTGGCCTGTTGAAAGGAAGGGCGTCCTTTCCAGTGGTTTGTGGCAACCTAAGGACGAGGGCAGGAGATGGGACAGTGGTCTGAGAGGCCACTTGAGCTGTTGGGCCCAGGGGTGTGCGCGCGGAGGCATGCTGTTTGCCTGGGGTGTTCTGGGACTTAGGGTTGAAATCCCAGCACTGAGAAACTCAGCAGTCACACTCAGAATCTAGATGTCTGGGCCTGCAGGCTTCAGTAGCAGGAGCAGCAACAGCTGCCGCCTCCAGGTGGGGCTGTTCACGGCCCCCACGACCTTCCAGATTAATTAGGGTCCTGCCCCAGCAGGAGTGCCCCTTGGTGTCACCCAGTCAGACCACCTGTGGGTCAGCGGGCCCAGGAAAGGGGGAGGTTGTCGATCTGGGGTCATGTGGGGGAGTCAGCTTAGATTGGAACCCCTGGCTCCCCTCACCAGGCGTCTCACCTCAGGCCAGTGCACCCTCTGAGCTCTGGGGCAAGGGGAAAGTCGGAGCCCCCGGCCCTCTCCTGACTCACTGCAGACTTTTGATGACAGAGCAGCACTTGGCAAAAATGTTTTCTGGAGCTGCTTCTGCCAAGATCTAGAGAAGGGGAGCAAAGGGGGGTCAGTTCTGAGTATCTCAGGGTCACTGCCCTCCACCCCCTGACGGAGGGGGTGACAGGTTCGCAGGCCCCTTTTAGTTGCCGGTAAAGGACTGAGAGGTGCAGCCCCAGGGCTGTGTGGATGAGGAGACGGAAATGGTCAGGAGGGCTGCCTTGCAAGGCTATGCGTTACTAACAGCTGGGCACAAACTGTGCGGGGTTGCTGTCCCTGGGAACAGGCCATAGGACCAGGGTTGTGCCAGGCTAGCTCACCCCCTTCCCATCCCATTCTTGGTGGTTGAGGCTAGTTTATCTCTTGCTCTTACCTTTGGTTGCGGGAGGGGAACAGGAATGACACCAAAGTTCTCTGTCTTCACAGCAGGGAAAGTACAGGAGTTGCATGGGTCACTTTAGGATTAAGATATCCCTGCTTTCTACCTTGAGAACACATGGCTGGCTTTGAATTGAGCTGTGGTTGACCAGTTGTCCCAATCTTAACGTGGTTTTGTTTTTTTGTTTGTTTTTTGTTTTTTGTTTTGTAGTTAACGTTCTAAAATGTATTTAATTTTGCAGTTTTGGAGCCATTCTGTTTAGACCTTCCGTGTCGTACCTGGGAGGCCACAGCCTGCACCCATTCTGCCTAATGGAAGAAATGGAACTCCCCAGTGTACATGCTGCGGAAACAGGCCCAGAGTTCTGGGATTCAGGGCTGCAGTATAACCCCTGTGCTGTTTCAGCTGGACTTGCTCCCCTGGAGGGCCAGGGGAATGAGCAGCAAGCAGGGAGTACTTAGTTTCAGAGCAGGTTCTTCTGCTGGTAGAAGGCCAGGGTGGGCTCACACAGGGTGTAATGCATCTCCAAGTGCTGGCGGATGGCCGACTTGCAGTCAGAGGCCCGGCACTCCACCTGGCCCCGATGCAGCGCTCTCTGGACCACTGTCTCCATGGAGCAGTCAAACACGATGACGAGGTTGGGGGCCTGGCCCACCTAGGCACCCGTGGAAGGGGGCACTGGCCCCCTGTGCACCCCCGCCCCAGAGATCAGGAATCTAGGGTGGTGCGGCCCAGTAAAGACTAACCAGGCCCCTGGGTCCGGTTTACATTTGGAGTTCCAAATTTTTGTTGTATGTGTTTATTTTTTGGACAGGTAGGGCATTGGTGGAGCTCATAAGCCAAACACCACCACTGGGAAAAGGTGAAGAGTCTCCTTGCTGTCCCCAGGCACCCAGTTTCACCCTCCCGGGAGGCAACCAAGTTGTCTATTTCTTGCGTCTCCTTCCGGAACCATTTTACGCACATGCCAGGCAGATCTGATTCTGATGTTCTTTTTCCTCCTTTTTCATACAGATGGTAAAGACATTGATTTGCCCTTGATTTTATTCACTTAGTAAGCTGGATGTGGTTGCACATTGGCACACGGGGAAGTTCCCGATCCTTTTTAATCACTATACAGTATGCTGTTGTGTGGATGTATTATGATTTACTTAACTGGTTCCTTGATGGGTATTTAGATTGAAATATCCCTTTTAAGATGGATTTAAGCAGTTTCTCCTTGCCTTCCTCTTGCCTAGACACTTTCATTGGGGAAAGTTCAAGAGTTGCCAGCTCACCACTGCGCTGCCTCCCACTGCAGGGAGACCTCCCTGGGTCTCCGAGGCCGCCCACTGTGAGCCCCACCTCCTCCTACTTCCTCCAGAATTTCCTTGCAAAATAGAATCTGTCAGCACTTTAAAACAACAACAAAAACACAACCAAGTGGGATTCACTCCAGGAAAGCAAGGATGGTTCAATACAGTTGTGTTAATATCTTAAGTAAAGAAAAAGTCATATGAGAATTCTCAGAAACACAGAACAATTTAAAAGACAAAATTCACACATTCCTGATTTAAAAAAAAAAAAAAAAAAAAGACACTCGAAATTGGTAAATATAGCCTTAGCCAGCATCTTATTTAATGGAAACTTGCTCTCCTGCTGAAGTTGGGAATAAGATAAAATTGCTCACTCTTATTTGCCTGGTGGCACAGTGGTTAAGAATCCACCTGCCAATGAAGGGGCCATGGGTTTGAGCCCTTGTCTGGGAAGATCCCACAAGCCGTGGAACAACTAAGCCCGTGCACCACAACTACTGAGCCTGTGCTCTAGAGCCTGTGAGCCACAACTACTGAAGCCCACGTAACTAGAGCCCTGCTCCGCAACAAGAGAAGCCGCCGCAATAAAGAAGCCCGTGCACCACAACGAAGAGTAGCCCCCACTCACCGCAACTAGAGAAAGCCTGCATGCAGCAATGAAGACCCAATGCAGCCAAAAATTAATTAATTAATTAATTTAAAAATAATTGCCCACTCTTGACGTTCCAACTTAGTATGATATGAGAGGATTAGCTAAAGCAACGAGATAAAAGAAAACAATGGGAGAAACCCGAATTGGAAAGGAGATCAAATCATGTCTGTTTGCAGATGGTGTGATTCTATTTCTGGAAAACTCACGAAAATCAACAAACTAGTACAGACTTCAGAGAATTTGATAGAGTAACCGGATGTAGTATTAACATACAGAAGCCTACACGTATATGAAAATCACCAGTTAGAAATAAGAAAGAAGGCCCCATTTACAATAACATTACAAGCAGCAACAAAAAATATATATATAAAACACTCGGGCAAAACTTTTCCCAAAACTGTGCACTGTCTTTAAAGGAAGATCTTTAAGGAAAACTTAGGTAAAATATTCCTAAGTGACTCGAAAGGAGACTGGAACAAAAGGAAGAGATACTTGTTGTTGGGTAGGAAGACTCAACGTTACAAAGCAGTCAGGATGTTTCTAAATGAGTTTAATAGTCTTAATGTGATCCCAACGTGATATTTTTTTAGTGGAGATGGGTTGATTCTAACATTCGTCTACAAAAAGAAGCAGGACTATCCAGGAAAAACAAGGCAAAGAAAAGCACTGGGCGGTGGAGGTGGGGAAGGGGGCATCCAACCTACCGGATGTCAAAACACGGTAAAGCCGCCATCCTTAAACCAGTGCACAGGTGGACAGACAGACCCCTGGAACAGAATGGCAAGTCCAGAAATAGACTCTGGTGAATATGGAAAGTTGGTATGTGGCTGGGGTGCCACCTCAAGTCAACGCAGAAAGGACAGACTTTTAAATAAATGGTGTGGGGACAACTGGATTCACCATTTGGAATCCTTACCAAATTTCCCTAACTAGGATATGTTCCAATGGATCACAGACATAAATGTAAGAAATAAAACTATACAAGTACTAAAGAAACCATGGATGAATTAATTACCTTATAACCTGGGATTGAGAAAAACAACAGCAATGATGTCTCAAAATTCAGGAGAAATAACAGAAAATATTGATAAGTTTGACGAAAGTTTTAAAAATAATTTCTGCATGTGAAAGAGGCACAATAGGGAGTTCCCTGGCAGTCTAGAGGTTAGAACTCAGAGCTTTCACTGCCGTGGCCCTGGGTTAAATCCCTGGTCAGAGAACTAAGATTTCACAAGCTGTGCCACGTGGCAAAAAAAAAAAAAAAAGGCACAATAAATCAAGGTCAAAAAGTAATTGACAAACTGGACTGGGGGGAAAATTTGCAAACCATATCACAAACAGCTAATATACAAAGAGTTCCTAAAAATCAAGATGAAAAAGACCAACAATCCACTGGGGGGGGAAAAAAAGTGAGCAAAAGATGTAAAGAGTGCACCAAAGAAGAAGTGAAAATGGCCCTAGAACTTTGGAAAAGATGCCCAGCCTCATTCATCATAAGAGAAATGCCCATTTAAAACCACCAAAATACCATTTCACACCTAAGCAGGTTGATAAATGAATGGCTGGTGGCAATGCGGAACAAAGAGGAGAGTGATGCCATCAATCAAAATCATCGACACATTTCTCTTTAACCCCGCAATTCCACTCCTGAGAACCCATCCTAAAGACGCTAGCAAAAATAAGAAACGCCACATGAAGGTGATTGAGTGGGGCATCGTTGGTAGTGAGAAAAGATTGTGAACGGCTTGCTGTCTGTGGGCCGTCAGAGGAGTAAACAGTGGCGCTGCCACACAGCAGAATTCTGGTTGTAAAATGGGGCAAGGAAGAGGAGGACTTCTTGACACTGATGTGACATCTTCAGGGTGTATCTGAACATTAAAAGAAGCCTGCTACTTGTGGAATGCTGCTTTCTGTGTACAGAGGGACACACACAAGCGCGCACACGGTTTATATTTGCAAAAAGAAGGACAATCCAAAAACTAAAACGGTTGCCTGCAGTGAAAGGAGAGCACAGTTTTGGGTGGGGGTGGATCTACCTTTTTATGTGACTTTCACTTGGGAATCATTACATGTGGTGCAAATTCAAATTTTTAATTAAAAAAAGCAATCCCTGGGACTTCCCTGGTGGCACAGTGTTTAAGAATTCACCTGCCAATGCAGGGTACATGGGTTTGATCCCTGCTCCAGGAAGATCCCACATGCCGTGGAGCAACTAAGCCTGTGCGCCACAGCTACTGAGCCTGCGTGCTGCAACTACTGAAGCCTGCGCACCTAGAGCCAGTGCTCTGCAACAAGAGAAGCCACCACAATGAGAAGCATGCGCACTGCAACAAAGAGTAGCCCCCCGCTTGCCACTACTAGAGAAAGGCCACGTGCAGCAACAAAGACCCAACATAGCCAAAATTAATTAATTTTTTAAAAAAGCAATCCCTAAACATCGAAAGCCAAGGTGAAATGAACGAACCCATGTATCAATGTCACGCTGCAACTACACACAGAAAATAATTATCTCAAGGGACCCAGTGTTTTTGTGGTATGTCCACAGTGAGACCTATTGTAAAGGAAAACAAGAGCTGCAAGCAAATCTTCCTTTGGTAGTTTTATTCTCAGTAGTTAAAATCGGTATGTTATTTGGAAACTATTTTGCATCTAATGGAATAATGCAAATGACAATGTCAGTGGTTTTAGGAACCAGATTTTTTAGGGAAAAGAGAAAAGAGAAGTAAAACACTGTGACATTAAGTGTGAGCTGGAAATAACAGTAGAACTTGTGATTTTTTTTTTTTCCTTTCAAAAGTCTGTGTTTCCTAGCTCAGTCCACTGGAAAGGCCTGGAAACGATGACCACCCGGTAGCAATGAGTACCCCTGGCACCCAGATGGGACACCACTGAAAAAGGGCCTTCATGGAGAAATGGCCAATTCCAGAGCTGGACCGGAAATGTGAAGGGGCGGGGGCGGGTGTGAAGTCTTGTGCAGTAAGAAAGCAAGAGGGTGAGTGTGAAATGGGGCTGTGTCCAGAGGACGCTATGCCATGTGAGAGGGCTGCTTTTGGCCAAAGATGGGACAGCTTGAGCAACAACAAAAAAGGAGGACACGGGTTTGAGCCCTGGTCCAGGAAGATCCCACATGCCGTGGAGCAACTAAGCCCGTGCGCCACAACTACTGAGCCTGCGCTCTAGAGCCCACGAGCCACAACTACTAAGCCCGTGTGCCACAACTACTGAAGCCCACGTGCCTAGAGCCTGTGCTCCACAACAAGAGAAGCCACTGAAATGAGAAGCCCATGTACCGCAACGAAGAGTATCCCCCACTCACCGCAACTAGAGAAAGCCTGGGTGCAGCAATGAAGACCCAACGGAGCAATCAATCAATCAATCAATCAATCAATCTATTACAAGAAAAGACTGATTATTGCCATCATCAAAAAGACTACATGGGGCTTCCCTGGTGGCGCAGTGGTTGAGAATATGCCTGCCACTGCAGGGGACATGGGTTCAAGCCCTGGTCTGGGAAGATCCCACATGCCATGGAGCGGCTAGGCCCGTGAGCCACAACTACTGAGCCTGCACATCTGGAGCCTGTGCTCGGCAACAAGAGAGGCCGCGATAGTGAGAGGCCCGCGCACTGTGATGAAGAGTGGCCCCCGCTTGCCGCAACTAGAGAAAGCCCTTGCACAGAAACAAAGACCCAACACAGCCAAAAATAAATAAATAAATAATTTTTTTTTTTTAAAGAAAGGGCTTACTACATTAAAAAAAAAAGACTACAAACAATAAATGCTAGAGAAGGTATGGAGAAAAATGAACCCTCCTACACCATTGGTGGGAATGTAAATTGGTGCAGGCGGTATGGAAAACAGTATGGAGGTTCCTTAAAAAACTAAAAATAGAGTTACCATATGATCTAGCAATCCCACTCCTGGGCATATATCTGGAGAAAACCGTAATTCGAAAAGATACATGCACCCCAACGTTCATAGCAGGACTGTTACATAGCAACCAAGACATGGAAGCAACCTAAGTGTCCATCAACAGAGGAATAGATGAAGAAAATGTGGGGCTTCCCTGGTGGCGCAGTGGTTGAGAGTCCGCCTGACGATGCAGGGAACGCGGGTTCGTGCCCCGGTCCAGGAAGATCCCACATGCCACGGAGCGGCTGGGCCCGTGAGCCATGGCCGCTGAGCCTGCGTGTCCGGAGCCTGTGCTCCGCAACGGGAGAGGCCACAACAGTGAGAGGCCCGCGGACCGCAAAAAAAAAAAAAAAAAGGAAAATGTGGTACACACATACACACACACACACACAATAGAATATTACTCAGCCATAAAAAAGAACAAAATAATGCCATTTGCAGCAACATGGATGGATCTAGAGATTATCATACGAAGTGAAATAAGTCAGACAGAGAAAGACAAATATATGATACCACTCATATGTGGAATCTTAATTTTTTTTAAATGACACAAATGAACTTACTTACAAAACAGAAACAGACTTAGAGATATCGGAAGCAAACTTACAGTACCAAAGGGGAAACGTGGCAGGGAGGGATAAATCAGGAGCTTGGGATGAACAAACACACAATACTATGTATAAGATGGATAACCAACAGGCACCTACCGTGTAGCACAGGGAGCTCTACTCAATATTCTGTAACAACCTATATGAGAAAAAAATCTGAAAAAAAAAATGGATATATGTATGGGTATAACTGAGTCACTTTTCTGTACACCTGAAACTAACACAACATTGTAAATCAACTAGACTTCAACAAAAAAAATTTTTTTTAAGACTAATTGAAGCACTTTAAATACACAAAGATGCTTGAGTTGGTAAGGATGAGAGAGATCAAAACAAAGGAAGACCAAATAACGAACCTCACGGTCACCATCGGAGGTGAGTAGTACACCCAACCTCAGTCTGAAAATGGGCCCTGGTAGGGGAGAAGATAAGCATGTATCCCACCTGTCTGGTCGGAACTATATTTCAGGATAACCAAACAGCCCTGGTTGAGGAAGGACATTTCTTCTTCAGGGAAGAATTCCAGCTAATTGATGTGGGGGAAAAATGACTACAAGAGAAACGTACAGCTTTCGAACTGACTCAGAATATGAATTAATTGATGCCAACAACGAATGAAACTGTAAGATAAGAGGCCGACAGGACATGTTACAGCAGCCCCTAGCTGACCCTGTATCAGTTTGTGAGGGCTGTCACACCAAGTACCAGAGACCAGGTGACTCCAACCACAGAAATTCCATGTCCTCACAGTCTTGGAGGCTGGACATCTGAGATGGAGGTGCTGGCAGGGTGGATTCCTCTGGCGGCCTCTCTTTGGCTTGTAGGTGGCCGTTTTCTCCCTGTGTCCTCACACAGTCACTCCTTTGTCTGTGTCCTAATCTCCTCTTCTTATAAGGACACCAGTCGTATTGGGTTAGGACTGATCTTGAGGACCTTTTAATGTAATCACCTCTTTAAAGACCCATCTCCAAATCCAGTCACATTCTGAGGTCCTGGGAGTTAGGGCCTCAACATATGGATTTTGCAGGGACACAGTTCAGCCCATAACAGATCACTTACTAAGAGCAGGGCAACCGGGCATGAAGGAGCCTCCTTCCTGAATGATGCAGTACAAGCAAGGTATTGAACCACAGTGCTCTACACCAAATTCACACTGAATTGGACAGAAAAAGAACTGCAAGCACAACACGAATTCTGTTTTCCCCACTTTCCCAAGTTCACTGCCTGGGCCCTGGTGAACATTCAAAGACCTGGGTCCTCTTGAATAACACATTGAAACACATGGAAAAAAACCAACTATGGCAAAGAAACAACTAAACATTGTGTGCTATCCGATAGGAGTTCACATCACCACCTATGAAGTGCACTTGAAAAAATGGAATCTAAGTTCCGAGCTAGACTCTAGACATGCTACCAATTCACAGGACACATACAGGAGAGGGGAGCATGATAAGAAAACAAAACACAAAACACTCTGCGATCAGCAAAATCCTTGCTGTGCAAA